TGATCTTCGGCTTTACTTCCTAAAAAGTGTTCCCAGAAAGTGCTGTTTCCTGCTTGTTTTCTCTGTGCTTCATTTTCCTCCTCTTCAAAAATGCGAATGATCATGCTTGCTCCACAGGGCTGCAGAAAACAACTATCTTGTGTTTGTACAGGGCTTAAAATAAACATGCACCAGTGCACCGCTCAAAGATTTAAGGACTGATAAACAGCATGTTCACACAATGTAACCTGCCTGTGAGAAAAATGATACTTTAACCCAGTGGTCTTCTGCATCCCCAGATTTATGACTGAGACGGATCGCAGTCATTTATTCTACCTCCAAAACAAAGTCTAGCGATTAGAAGTATTTCTTCTCTGATAACATAAACGGAATTTGCCAACTGAGATCTGTCTGAAATGATGCAAATGGAAGAATGCCCTGCTCCTGTTGATCCAAATGAAAGCAAAACGCTGTATGTTTTTAAGCCAAATTAAATTCAAGGAAAATGAAGACCAAACTCTCTGTATCTTTGCCAAAGAAATAAGAAATCCAAGAACAGCATTTCCTTATTCCTGACCTGCTACAGCTGGCCTTTTCTGTAGTATTCAATTAGTCAACAGTGGATAATACCACTGTCACGAAAAACACTTTTTTTGTCAGCAGAGACTAAGTAAGTATAAATAGAGTTAAGAGTTTCAGAAAGAGTAGAGGTAAGGATGGTTCTGCAGGGTTTTTTTGTGTGAATGTGTGTTTTTTATTGTTGTTGGGTTTTTAACTGTGTTCAGGAAAAGGAGCACTCTAAGATTTACCCTCTGACAAGCCTAAACTTGTTATGGATGGCAAAAACGTTTCTTTCCTCCTCCCTTTCTTGGTGAGCAGTAGCACCAAGAGTTTTGCAACAAAGAAATTAAAGATATCAGTCAGTATCAACTCACTGCACAAGCACATATTTCGGTTCTCCTCTGACAACTGTTCCCCTCACAGGGAAGTCAGTGCAAACTCGGAAATTCACCTATGAACACAGAGAAGTCCCTGTAATGCTCCTCAGTGCAAAAAGAGGAAACATTTCTTTTCCATACCCATCTATGGCGATAAGTCATTAATACTCAAGCCAATAGAGCAAAGCTGGTATGAGTTTCATTGCTTTATTAGAGATGTCCCAGATGTGGTTGGATCTTCGGCTTCTTCTTCTTTTGATTTTTTTATGTTCCTGCTCCTGGGGGTGTTGAGATTCATGTCTTACACAGAAGGCCTTCTGAGCTGCACAAAATGCTTTGAGATTCATTGTAGTCTCTGTGCTCTGATATTTATACAAATGTGTCAAATTCAAAGTCTCTGGTCATCTGAAATTCAAAGTCTGTGGGAGGTATGATGGTTAGCAGATTAACCTGAGATTTGTTTTTGGATTTCTGGAAGGTTCAAGCAGCAATTACATTGTAAACCAAAGATCTGAATTAGGAGACGCCATTCTTTTCCCACCTTCGGATAAATTCAGCTCAGACAGCTTACTGTTTGGGTGCCTATATGCAAAGTGACTGAACCAAAACCAAATCCAGTCATCATGAATTTGGGAAATCTTCATTCTTGCTCCAAATTCTTTCTCTACAGCCTGTCACTCTCCAAATCAAAAGAAAATTGAGATAGGGAAAAATATGAATATACTCAAAGTGGTCCTGTAGAAACAGCTGCAAACCAGTAGTTCTCAAACAGGGATCATGAAAAGGGATTAGGACAGCTTTGGCCGAAATGAGTAATAACATCTCCTTTCACTAGGATTTTGGTTGGGATCCCAAGTCCAGTGAAAAACCACTGTTTGTTTCAGTTTAGCTAACACTGATTGCAATTGTGTACTAGGCCTACTGTTGCTGTTTCCACACAACAGATTAAAAGTGCAAAAGCAAGAAGGAAGCAGTTAAAAAAAAAAAAAAACAGGTCCTATATACAGGTGTGTCCGGTATATGTTTTTATGTGTATACACATAAAAGTGAAGCAGACACCCTGAATCGGTGAGCTCTGCTTTTCTCAAGTATCACAGAGCCACAGAGATGGTGTTTCCAGCATTACATCAGCCTGCTTCTCCCAGACATATTTAAATGTGTATCTCCTATAAAAGACAGCAGTCTAGACCAAAAGACATATGAGTTGGCACTGACTGGTATCTCCTAGGACAAACAGAATATCTAACATGAAGGCTGTACAAGCAGCGTAGATTTACTTAAATCACAAGACCAGTGTCATCTCTTCTGAATATTGCAAATTACTTTCATCATCCACTTTCCACTCACTACAACAGAAACAAGTTGGCTTATTTCCCAGAGACAAGCTTAAAGGGACAGTTCAGTTCTAAAAGCCTTGGTGGGCTGACTGCAGATCACTTTGGCTGGAGATTTTTTAAACAGTTTTCCATTCTTCTTGGCCCTTTGTACATCTAGTTCAACTTTTGGCTAACTTCCAATCGAGAATCAGGGTTTCTTCACTCCTAGTCCAAACTGCTGTGAAATTTTGCTGTAAAATTGATTCAAATTGAGGAAACCCATCCAAGAGGTCATTGAGAGGGAGACAGATTCCTGCAGAGAAGATGCAAACATTTTCGCTGAAGTAGAAAAGAAAAAAAGCATAAAACTATTTAGCCTCAAAGTGGCTGCGTTAGTGCTTGTTGCAGAATGACAAGCAGCATCTTCCTCTGGCTTCTCAGAGCTGGTCCAGGACTGGTCATGTATTTTGCAGATCTGAAGGCCTGCAGAATAGGAGCTGGAAAGTTAAGAGACTCCTCCAGGCAGATATTTTAATCAGAGTTATTTCTCTTCTGCTTTGATTGGTTAAATGGTCACTTTCTGATGGAAGGAGAGGGAGGGCAGGAAACTTCAGAGAGGAAAAATGGAGGTGCAGCTTCTCCTCATGGACAACAATGTGATTTTCTGTTTAATCAATCTTGACCTGTCAGAGTACTTTAAAAGTCTCATACACTTGCAGAGAGAGATGCTAGTCATCTCTAGAGCAAGCTAAAGGGTTTTTCTGACTATCTCTTTTTCCACTTTTTTCCCCTGCAGTACAAGAGGCAAAATGAGGATCAGAGCCTGAAAGGTAGGCTTATGATAGTTGGATGGAAGAGGTGGCACATATAAAAATACGTTTTTTATTAAAAGATTTGTTTGCTACGTACTTACATGAAAATGTGTTTCTGGGAACTGCAGGATCCTTTTAACTTACATGCCGTTTTTAACGTGTAAAGCATTTGCATACAGTTTTACAGATAATTTATTTCTATGTAATACATGTCTGACTGTGCTACCCATATATATAGTAAATGGTGTCTTACACCACAAACAGCTCCACTGGACACTGTGAGACTCCTCCAAGTGATTATTTTGGTTTCAGAAGAATTCCTTGTGTAACTTCTTACCAGAATAGCTAGGGTAGGCCATCTGCCTTCAGGTGATTTTGAAAAAAAATCCAACTCCACCCAAAACCACCAGAATGTCTTTGTGGAAACTAGGAGGTTTCTGCAAAGAAAGCAGCAGCTCATATGGTTAACTGTACACATATATTCGTCTGCAGTTCCCTTTCATCAATAATATCTTAAGCAGCTCTACATCATATATAGTACCAGAATAGCTGACCCACTGCAGGTATCTCATAGTGTAGAAGTAAAACTCAGTAAGCTTTCCTGTATCACCATGCCAGTTGGCAGTGTAGTGTTTGCAGAGTGCACGTATTAGTGCAATTTTCTTTAAGAAATCTTCTTTGAATATGATTTGGTGATGCTACAAATTCTTCCAACTGAAGTGAACTGTTTCCGTGAAATTTGAGGGGCACTGGCAAAACACTGTGCAATGAATCACAAGCAGGTGCATACCCCCAGACACCACGATTTGAGGGGTGATCAAACCGCGACGCCTTAGCATCAAGATCCCTGTGACATGCTACTTTTAGTCCCAAGCTAGAAGTGTATGCACCCACGGAGGCCACATATTAAAGCAACCATGGCTTTACTGAGGTGAAAAGTAAAGGGATTTTTGCTCACCCATTAATATCAGCCAGTGTAGCCTGTCTACCTGTATTTCACTCCCTAGACATATCTGTGCAATGCCTGCTCTCCTCCCCATTCAGATCAGGATCGCTTCTACTTCCTAGCAAAGGGAAATATTATCCCAGGCAATACAACAGCTTATTCTGCTGCCACATTAGACAAACTGATTTAGAAGTGTAAGATGTAGGGACTTTTCCGTACAGTGTCATTTTGCAGTTAATCATGACCACACACACATAAATATGTACCCTTAGGAGGGGTCAAACTCTGGACCCTTCAACAGAAACACTGTAGACTTCAGTTACTTGCGAAAAGGCATAACACAGCAGCCCCTGGCTAGGTACTAGGAAAATTATAATAATACACAGTAACTACTATGTTGTAGTCAGGTTTTTTTTTTCACTTTTCTTTTCCCTAGATTATAGTAGGGGATTTAACACTACATAAAATGAATCTGATCCAAATTCATGAGATGTCCCATCCTACAACAGGTTCTACTTCTCCCTTGTTCCCTAGATGCAGAAGACAGCATAAGATTGTCATTTTGTTCCCAGTGCAGTAAAAAGCATCCTGTACTGAGGTGTGAAGTTGCTTGTACTGTAGTCTGGCTACCTGGCATGACCAGTGGAGGTCAGGTACGCTCTGACTCTTGTTGCACTTAAGCACAAGGTTGATTCACATTTATTTTTGAGGTATCTCCACATTTCAACAGTATGACAGGCTGTCCCCTTGTGCGATGCTGGGAATCTGTGCTGGGTGAAAGGTACCATCTGTTGTGAATTCCCTAACAGTCATGCTATGATCACTGGCATGCACCTGCTGGCAAAACCGACTACCATAGAAAGGATTAGCAAATGAAGCGAAATATTCTTCACCATAATATGAAAAACGGGAAGAAGAAAGTATTAATCTGACATCACTAATATGAGTCTTTCAGTAGCTCTTGCTATTACAGACTCACAAAGCAGGAAAAACATACATACAGAGATGCTGACTGAAAAAAGGCAATATATTACCGGACGTTTCAGATGGTATGAAGCAGGCAGTACAAAGGGATCTTCCATTAGAAGCAAAGAACTAGCCACAACATTTACTACAAGTGTTGAACTCTCCTATTTGATTCTTCTATTTTCTTTCTGATTTTTATTTGTGCACTTTCACCTTGATCATTTTGAGGGTTCAATCGGTCTTACTCCATGGAAATTCTGATACAATTCTTTCCAGAACAACATTGTTACCAAGGCACCATAAAGTATGAGATCCCATAGCCACAATACAACTGGATGAACAGTACACATTAGAAACATGTTTCTGCTGAGGAAAGTACTTTGCAAAACAGAAAACTGGAGCAGGGGGTGAGGGAAGTGGGTTGAAGAGAGAGGTGGGAGAAGCAAACCTCAAAAGCAGATTAATTATCATTTCAAAGTATAAGAGCAACAAGTTTATATAGTGTATACCACTAACAGCTGATGAAGAAAGTGCATTTCCAGTGATGCAAAACAATAAATCAAGATCTAATATATTTGTGAATGGCAATAGTAGTATCATCACTTTTAAGAACAAGATGTCCAAAAAATATCTTGACTGCAGTACAATTAGAAAATTCTGTTATATGCATACAGACCAATGGCAAGGAAACACATAAAAATATACATCTACTGGGAACTGAGCAGTGGTGGAAAGGGCAGAGGCAACAAGGGATTTTGATGTAGTTGAGGAAAGCAATTGCATTCTGCCTTCCAGTGTAGAGAGCATATACACAATGAAAGAGACAGATTAGTTCAATAGAGAATATCAACAGTATAATGGCTAGAGTTGTATATTACAGGTCCCAAAGACAAAGAAATTCTTTGCATAGCAGCGCTACGAGAATTGCATAATTTCTTGCATGCTAGGAAATTTAAGCCTGGTCCAGAAATAATTAAATTTGTAAGGGAATTAACCTGCCTGCTGCGATGTTGTATAACTTTGCTAAAAAGCTGTTGAAGCCATTTGGATACAAAATCCCTATTTACAGAAACAAATTCTTAAATAGACAACTGGAGAATTAATCTGGTGCTTTGAATGCTCTAGAAAATTGTATTACACCAATTGTCAATTCTTTGCTATATATAACAGCTAACTCCCGTTACTGTATGTGTAATGGTCAGAGATAATTATATTGTTCCTGGAAAACAAGCAAAGTTCATCCTTTCAGCAACATTTTAAAGATATATAAGAAGATTATCACTAACAGCAAAGAGAAAACTCTTAGTGGAAATACACTCTGAGTTTGAGGAATGACAGCCAAAGGTTAATAGAAAAGTTTTTCCTCTATTCCTTCTGCCTCTATCAGGCTCTGAGGGAGGCCAGTTTTCCAGCATTCAGGTGGCTTGCTGTGCTGTGTGTGTCGATAAGACCTAAATGACTGTTTTCTATGTGTTTCTATGCTACCATCCTCCTCCCTACAAGGGGATTTAGGGAAAGATCATGCCTCTATCTCTCAGCGTGAGAGAGAATTACCCTTTCTGTCAACTAAGTACCAGCCAGCTGAGTCGTAGTGACGACCTCTCAGCTTGATAGTTTGTGAGTATTTCAATGGGCAGCTGATTTTTTGGTGTGAGAGAGGATGCAGTTTAATGTGTATGCACTGTTAATTATTTTAAGGTTTTTATAGCTTTGAAAACTCACTGCTGCATATATTTCAGTGCTAATGCCCCTACACATGCAGTACAGAGAATCTTAGATTTGTTCAGAATTCAAGTAAAGAGAAACTCTATTTGCATTAAGACTTCAGAAAATATATGCAGGAGGAATATTAAATCTGTCCTTTTAAAAGTAGGCTTGCAAAACTAAATGCTCCTGTAGGTCATACGAGGATTAACAGACAGGTCAAGTTACACTTAGATCATTTGTGGTTCTTGAGTGAGTGAGTGAGTGAGTGAGTGAGTGAGTGAGTGTGTGTGTGCGTGTGCGTGTGCGTGTGCGTGTGCATGTGCGTGTGCAGACACTCTCTTACCTCAGAGCTTCAAAGATGACTACATTTCCCTGTCATAGACAATATGGGGGCGCTTGGAAGCCCAACAGAGCTCTTCCGTTCTTTAGCAAATAAGTGCAGTAAAGCCATTACTATGGTTTAGTAATTACAGTTCTGGGAACTAAAATATTCACCACAATGCACTGGTCCTGTCATGGGTACGGTTGAAGAGATAATATTTACAGTCGCAGTGGCAAGTTTCTAAAATTGGTATATCCAGCTAGCCATCCATAGGCCAAAAGAACCAGTTTTGATGATTTTGGGCATCAAAACTAATGTGTATGATTAGATGGACACAGAAAATCTTGACAAAATGGACTTGTCCTTGACCTGTTAGTTTATTTCAAAAACCTCCTGTTACTTAAACTTACATACATCAGGGAGTGCTGTAGGTCCTTCTTCTGTTTTTCAACAATGTTATATATGTCAAAAGTGATCAAAGAAACTAAAGTGAGCTAAAAAAACCACCTTCATTGACTAATCAAGGGAAACTGTTCATACAGTTACATACTTCAAACAAAAGTGCACCACCATTTTTCAAAACAAAACTGCTTAAGATTACCATGAGGTAAATTAAAGAAAAGTTGTATCACAGTCAACGCTGATTGAAATTAAAACCAGTATTTTATACAATTCTCTCATACTACCCTCTCCTCAGCTTTAGACATTTAAAGCTGTTCAGCTACTTAGGCATTTAAAAGGTCAATTTGCCAGGCATTTGGTTTGCTGATTTTCACAGTTAGATATAATCTTGAGCAATGTTCCAAATTAACGTTAAAGCATCTATAATTTTTCTAGTTCTAAGAAAGTTAATGGAGTGCAATCTGTAAATAAGGGCAAATAGACGAATCTATAGTACTCTTGATTTTTCACTCAAGCACACAGATTCTTGTCTCTATCCAACCTGTACAAATTTGCTTCAAGGTTTTCTGTCCTTGTAACTTTTCCAGTAATAACTTTGCACTAATGTCTGAGTAAATTCTGATGAATTGGATGTCTTTCTTGAAGCCTTCATATGTTGTAATGGGGTTTCCCACCACTCGTACATAGAAAGGACCAGGAAATCTAGATTGGGGAAAGTCTCTGAGCACATCTTTGCCATGCAGGCAGCCACAATGGTGTGATAAGGCTGGATTTATGGCTCTAATGTCTGCTCACTCCAATACAGGCATGCCTGAAAAGGTACTGATACTACCACATAGGCTATAGTGCTCAGAAAACGTGGTCTCTTGTTTTCTCTCTCTGCAAATACTTAGTTGCACAGAAGAAAGAAGAACAAAGCCCTAAAAGGAAGTAATAAGTTGTGGATTCTCAACATGACTGGAGTAGGACAATAAATCACTATCAAGATAAGCACAACTAATTTTCCCTATATTGCCACACATACAATTCACTAGGACAAAAGCCTACACTCTCTCTGAAATCCTTTTTACATTCATATAAGAAGATGTGCATGTTAATGGATCCTGGGATGATTTCTGAAATTCGTTTGAACACACTGTATTTCTCCAGGGGAAGAAGAAAAGGTGCAAGACATAAGATTAGGCTGATGTTGAAGAAGGGCTTCTTCACTCCTTTTAACCTAGACACGCTGCTTAACGATAACGTTTATCATCATTACCACACTATGCATCCAGCAACAGCCTGGAGAAGGGTGTAAAAACTCCAGGATGAAGGAGACTTCTTTCGGAAAGTTCAACAAGAGTCTGGGGAGCATCCATACCTATCCATACACATAATTTGGGTGGCCAATAATACAGAGTCAGATGATGACAAAAACATACTTCCCATGCCATTTGTCTAGGATTTCTGGCACCACTGTGATCATAGCTTGATGCAGTATTTCCATACCACGTGCAGTTTGTTGCCAGAGTGCAAGTAAACTTTTTAACTGACTGCCACAAGTCAGTCAGGGAGCAGTGAGTTAAAAATTGGTTTAAGCACGCCAGTCTAGAAGAAGAGTAAAAAAGAAGTGTGACTGCAGCACTGGGAACAACTACAGTCCTTGTCCTCCTGCCTTGAGTGAAAGTAAACAAGTCCATTCTTATCTGACTTTGCCAAACCCCAAAGTATAATGTTAGAAGGAAAAACAAGTTTTACAGAATTGAGTATACATAACCCTTTTCTGCCCTTCATAAATTGTATATTACACTAGTTGAATTTACTAAAGTTAAATGTTTACAGAATGCTATATATATAATGGCACATTTAAGCTTTTTAAGGGGTTGGAATATTTCAGACATGTCTCTGGTGCTGAAAAAGGCTAATGTGGTACAAATCATACAATATTTTAATTCAGAAAAAATATGTTTGGGTACTTTGACCTAGCATCATATGGATTAGGAAACTGAACAAGGATGGCACAAAGCGTGACTGAGGAATCAGTCGAGCTAGTCTGCTTCAGATACGTATTGTGCAAGGCATTATCGCTGCAATCAGAGTCACAAAAATGCATATTTAGTTTTTGTACATTAAATACTACACCTGTGAACCTATGTAAAAGATATACAAAATATAAATGTCATCAGGACTGTATATTTCAAACTTTTTAAAATAAACACAAAGTATATATATATGTAGGCATATAAGCTGTAATTTCAATGTCAACACTAGCACAGTTTGTCTCTTCTAAATACAGACCTGTATACTTCCTATTCCAACACATGCACCTACAAACACATGATCATGCATACAGCTTTATGTTCTGCTGTTTGCAGAAGAGTCAGAATATACAGCACTATACATTGTTTCAACTCAAAATTGAGTGGCAAATTAAGGAAGATGCCATTCAAAAAAAATTCCTTGTGAACGATTACCAAAAAAAAAAACCCACAGAAAAAGAAGGGTATAGTTACTTCTTTTCAATAAAAACACTGAAGACTGTGATGATGACCTAAGATTCAAAACGCTTTGTCCAGCAAGTTAAGTGATGGGATCACTCTCGGACAAGATACAACAGTGTAGAACTGGTTGCTATAACACATACCGAGCACAGTTATCATGAGGTGTGGAGCTTTCACAACAACATCCAACCCACCTCTGGGTTCAGACTACTGAGGTCTCTGACCTAAAGGAGACGGAATAGTTGTACGTCATTCTTCTCATAGCAGGCGGTGCTGATGGTGATCTGGATGCCCATCTAGAAGGTAAGCGTCGATTTGCTGGCCGAGCTGGCCGGGAGAAACCTTTCCCACTTGAACATTTAGCTGGCACAGATACCTAGAACACAAATGCAACTCCCTGCTTAAACAAGCTACAGCACAAAAGGCTTTTGTGGAATGCAAAGGGAATGTAGGAATACATTTGGGGTGACCTCAGAGCAGGTGGTCTTAAGCTATTAAAAGGAACACAGTAATGCACAGAATGCAAAAGAACAGATATTTCTATGTATAGGGATTCTCACATTAGTTGCAGTTTAAAACATGTGGAGACAAGTGTTAGACACATTAAAAGGCATAAAATGTTAATGGAAGCCAAACCTGACATTCACTGATCCTGCCGATTTCTTTTCATTTTTGGAAGTTTCGTGAATTCACTCTGTATACTGTTCTATACATGAAACTCAGAATACCGTCTTACATTACTGTAATAAGATCTATGTACTTTTCAGGTATCTTTTTGATAGATCCTATTTCAGCAGTCACATCTTGCTAAGAACCGTTTCCATTAGTGCAATGTGAAGCTGTTTACACTTCATAAATTATTTATGGTTCTTATTTATTAATGCAGTGCCATGTCTGCATACAGAGCCTTTATATACACAGAAAAAACAACAGATTATGATCTTAGCTACAATGATGTAAATCTGAAATAGTGAAAATAACCCAAATTCCTCCACGCCTCATGCCATTTGTAGTTCTTTACATCTGTGTGAAGGGAGTGCTGCCGGATCTAAAGTGCTACCCCTAACGAGGCTGCATTCTACATTCACTTTATATAGATAGAAATGACAGCACAAAGTATGAGCCTATGAAGAAAAAAATCCCATTGGCTTAATAAAGTTATTCTAGCTTGCACTGATGTAAATTATGACCATTACGTGGTCATTATTTCTTCCGTACATATCCACTGATGAAAATTTTTTTCCTGTCAGATCTTCCCTGGATAAAAAAGAAATCAAATGCTTCATTTTTTTTTCCATCTAAACCGTAGTAAAGATGTTTCTGCTAAGCACGACGTTGCACTACTGCAAGGCTGACATAAAGACACGCAGAAGAAAATCTACAGGGTCAGATTCTCAGCTGTTTAAATCCACAATAGCTCCACTGAAGTCTGTGGACTTGTGACAGTTTGAGGGATACCAGCTGACCCATTTAAGTTTTTCAGCTCCAAACATATTTGCCTGCTCTTTTCTGAGGTGGTAAGGGGCATACCATTTTGTGCTCTTTGGCCAATGAACTTTTGGGGAAAACTGACTTTTCTTTCTTTGTGGCCATTTACAGAACCTCTAACTAATAATACATTTCAAAAACATATGTTTCTCATTTTATTAGGAAAAAAATGTTGTCAAAAGCAGTTTTTATAAACTTTGGCAAATAAAATTCAGCCAAATGTAAATTAATTAGTTATGCCATACTCTTCAGTTCCTGTGGGTCTATGCTTGAATATATATGGCAAGCCTGGAACTGAGACATAAGTAAGAAGAGTTTACCTTATTACTGGAACTTCAAGGAGCTAAAATCTGATTGCAGTTTTCACTAGTTCAGTTTTGAAATACCTGCACTGCAGTGACACTGCAGTTATCCTCAATTTTACACCACAGCAATAGAGATCAAAATCTGGTGCATGCCTTTACTGGAGTCGTGCATATTCACATACTTCTACCCTCCTGTAGCTCCAACTTCAGAGGAATTACTGCTGATTCATCCAGATCTTGGCCTAAAGTGTCTAATTTTATATAACTATTTACAGTCATGTTAGCTTGCCTTGTTTTAGAATCTGAAGCTTGATATAAAAATGAATTATTTTGTTCTTGCCAGTCTTACAAACCTTACCTCTGGTAACTTCTGCCTCTCTTTTCCTTGCTTGAGTTGCTGCCCAGTATGCCTGGCTGAATTCTTTGGAAATTCTTGCTTTCCTTGGTCAGTCTGGAGCATTTCTAAATACTGACTCGATGTCTCACAACCCCCATCAGTGAACTCAGAATTTGCCTGTGTCCCCTTATCTTTGCACCATTTTGCATTACACAGAGAAGTCACTGTTGATTTTTCATAGTTTTTCAAAAGCTTTTCAACAACACCGTAGTTTGACCTTGAGTCAGCTGAACGCGGGCGACCAGATAAATTACTTGGTCTCCAGTCATGCTCGTGAAGCATGTGCCTATAACCACTAGTATTTGGAAGACCATTTATTTGCTTTTGTTGCCCTGCTGTTCTGACAACTTTGCTGGGGTTGCTAGCTTCTTGTTCCTTTGCTGCAGAGAATCTGGGATTTGGAATACAGGATGAATTTACAGTTTCTTTCCTGCTAATTGCAGAGTCACACAGTGAGCTGCAAAGTTGGTGATCTTCTGATGCTGTTCGAAGCATTTGGTTTTCCTGCAAAGAAATGTTACATTTATCTGTATGAAATACAGTCCGGTTAAACTCATCAATCTTTGCTGCTAGAGTTTCATTTCTTTGGGTCTTTCCCAAAGTACACCTAGAGTCTTCCAAAAGATCATTGTGCAGGGCAGCAGGGGCATAAAAGTCATTATTGTAATAATGATTGCTATGAGACTTGAGATTTTGTTTCTGGTGCATCTTGTTGTTTTGGGCCATATTTCCATCTGAACAACTCTTCTGGGCAGACAGTGCAGAAGGTTCATTTTTACTATCCTTTCCAAGTTTGCCCACATCATATGCCCATGTGTTGTGGCAGAAACTTGCTGGTACATTGCACTCATTTTTGGTTACAGGTATTGCAGCAGTTATAGGCACAGGACCTTTTGCAGTCTGTCCTTCATTTGCACAGGCCACGGCACTTTCATCTTGTTTCACAGGTGAAGGATTCATCAGTTTCCTTCCGCTCCTACAGTCCTGAACCTTGCAATTGCTTTTGACACCTGGATCTCTTATTGGTGCTTCAAAAAGCTGTACAACTGCAGAAAGTGAGTTTGTCAGGTGCCGAGAAGTGCTCCGTGGAGGAACTGGTGGAGCTTCTTTTTTTTGCCAAGGTCTGAAGTCTGTTCCTCTGTCACCAGCACAATAAGACAAGTCCTTCAAACCTTTGGCAGAGCTCATTAGATTCTTCCTATTGTTATGCTCCTCTTTTTCAAAAGCAACTGAAGTCTGTGATTCATTGCTGGACACATGGTTCATCTCAGGAAGAATAACTGTATTTTGGGTTTCTTCAAATTCCCCCAGGAAAGGAAGTGACTTCATTCTGGACATAAAAGGAGAGGCATTTTAAGGAAGAGCAATAAGAATATTCCCTCAGGGGACATCAGCATGGATTCATTCTCCCCATGAACAGGTGTTTTAAGATTCGCTGCTTAAAAAGGATTTGGGAGCAGTTCTGCTGCAGCTGATACACTCAGTATATTTGAAACATACATGAAGAATTTGAGAAAAGCTCAACTAAGGAAATCTTGTATTCTTTTCCCCTTGTCACTGATATTATGTTTCAGACTTTTTGTCAATGATTTTTTTAAACTATCCTATATGAAGGCTAGTGGGATCTCACAAGTTTTAATAACTGCAGTGAATTTTGTCTCACAAACAGAACGAGGAAATCCTTAGGACATAGCGCATCTCTTGGGTAGGTTTCCTAACACTCAACATGACAGTACAAATCTATCATTTTGATGTCTGTTCAAAAATTACCTTCCTCAGCCTGCATTTAGAAACTATTCATCACTTATTACTTTATTTGCTTTAAAGATACTAACACTAACCCAACTGCAGTAGTAACTTAGTGACAGCCAGCAGACTGATTTGGCATGAACGGGGGTGTAAGGAGTCCCTCTGCTCTTTGTGAGTGTCTTGGAAGAGCCTGCCACCATGCAGACTTTCTAGTTAAACTATGCAGCCTCCCTCCATCTCTTTCATGGTCTGTACCCTGTCACAACATGGGTATGTTCTTACCTTCTGAGCATTTTTGCACAGCTCAAGAGGAAGACCGGTGTTTAGCTTGGCAAAGGAGACCATGAACATTGAATTTTCAGTAGATAGTGCAATATTCATTTGCAGTTCTTTTCAGGGCATCCATCAGGATCCCAGGGCTTACCATCTTTAGCTCATCCATCAGGGCTTACCATCTTTAGTATAAATGTATGGTGGCTCTCCCTTCTCTTGCTTTCTTTGGGCTCTTGCACTCTCAGTCCCTGACATTTAGGGCTGGATCTGGTCTTAACACAAAGAAGCATCCCATCCTAACATACCCATGTAATGTTGTATAAAATTGCATGGAAATGAGATAGGGACAGCCAGAAAAATCTTTTCACTCTCCTAATCCCCCTGTGTAGCCATTGGAAAGAGGTACAATTTAATCTCATATAAATTCTAATGTCATTTTGTAGTTTCTATAGATAAACTTTATTTTTCAAGTAAAACATGGCCTTGAGTTACATTTCAGCATATGTCATTTGAACGTTTTACTCTGAGCACTGAAACACTCAGAGGATGGAACCTACCCAGATCCTAATATTTCAACAGCACCCTCCCCCTTCAAAATGATTAGGAGCACAGTAAGTCTCATTCATTTTCTTTCTCTAACATAAAGAGGCCAAACAATGTTTTTACCTTCTGTGGTTGGACTTCTTTCGAATTTCCTCTTGATAGCTGCATAATTCTTCACTAACTCTGGCAAGTTCTTTAAGAGCCTTTATAAATATAAAAATATTTATTTAACATAAGCGTTCTTAAATGGTACCTCCAGAATTATTTTGAAACTTGTGGTGATTTACATATAAGAATCAGAGCAGAGCAAAGTAGCACAATGAAAGTGAGGAAAATGCCCCCAAGTTATGAACTGAGGTAAAGAACATGCTGTTAACACATTTAATCAGTGATAAGAAACTCATCAATAGCAAAGTGAGAAAGAAGTAGAGGAGGGAGTAGCAGTCCCTTGCTGGGAAGCTAAAATCAGGGAGATCAGTTCTTTAGGTCTGGCAGGCCAAAGGCCTCACTGTTTTCCTCACCCTTCTAACTGAAACATGCTAATACTTTACTTACTACATTGAGATCACCAATGTAATTCTTGGCATTTTTCTTGGGAGCTTTGATGCTGACGCTATCTTCAGGTTCCTCATGGTTCTCAAAGGCCAGATTGTCCCTTAACGGATCATTGCTTTTCCTCTTGGCTCTGGTTTCTTTACAGTCTTGTCCTGTTTTACTGAGCAAATTCTCTTTTTCCATCCTGTCATTTGCTACCTTGTATTGATAATTCAGTTCGGCTGCGTCACTCTCTTCCGAAGCAGGGGAACACATGGACAGCTGCAGCATCTTGCTATGAATGTCCTTATTATCGTATACGTTCATATTGTTCTCCCGTCTAAGTTTTACCTCCTGGTAAAGCTGAAAAAGAGTAAAATGCTCTGTTAAATCATGATACTCCAATGACCTTTATGATGAAAGAACATATTTATCTTTTTTGAACGATGCTTCACTCAGTAACATTGGGTGTGGGTAGAAAGAGTTGATATATGCAGATGACGGTATTTATAAGATATCTCTTCTCTTCTTCAGCCATGTGCCTTTTGGAAAGAAATTGCAGGAAACTGAAATCAAGGACAGCTTAAAAAACAGCTTAAAAAGTAACCTTAGATATCAATAGCCTCAGAACATCTTCTGTAGTTTTGTCTGGTCCTGTACCACCCAGGTATTTGCTTCATTCATTCTCTTGCCCTCCACTCCTACTTTTTATCACTTTTTCACCCCGTCATGCTTTCCTAACCCACAGGCTAATGAAAACATATGGAACACACATGGTCTTTGCTGTTGTTATGAGGACTTCTAATAATGCTATCACATCAGAATACCTTATCACAACACACTACCTTCATTCCAGAACGACTTATAAACCAAACAAAATGATATTCAACTGCATACACAGATCACATCACTAACTTTTGAAGCATTCTCACCTTGGTGGTAAAATTAAGTAAGACAGCACAGAAATGACATAACACAAAAAGGCAGAATGTGGCCATGACTATCATACCAAAGTCCAAAAGAACTGCTGGCAATATATAAGAAAGCTGACATTATGGAGTCATGCTGCAGGCTGAGGGCAGTGTATGGCTGCAATTCATTTGGCGCTGATCATTTTCCTTCTCATATTTTCACGTGAGCAATCTCTGCCATACATTCCTGTGCTGCTCAGCCACAGGATGATGTTGGCAGTGAGCAAGCAAAACTACTTCATGCGTATATTAGAATGAAAAATGTGGAAGGCTCACTAATGAGAAACTTGCCCATATACATTGCCAAGGAAGATTCAATTTGTGCATTACAGAGTGCCAGAGGGTTCTGCTGAAGTGATAATTTGGGGATAAAAGAATAATGAATAATTGCCTAAACTATTTCTAGAAAGAGATGCATTAAAAATGGCAGACAGTGAGTGTTTGTTACTATGTGTGAACGCAAGCTGTGTCAGGGCTTTCACGATACTTACTGTAGCCATTTTCTCGGCTAGATGTCATCCATAAATGGAGTAGATCTTGCCAGAATAATTCTGCATCATACAGTGTTTGATGTATGACATTCTTTTTAATATTACTCTTTATGCCAGCAGACTTGTTCCAAGCAACTACTTTTTACCAGAGAATTATGTTATGATACCTAGATTGAAATTTTGCTACTAAATATGCGTTTTCCTAAACCCCAGGTCTGTTCAGCATGTCCTTACTTGTAAAAAGCATGTATAAATGAGCACTGTGGCTTATGCTCAGAAGAACTGGCAGCAGTATATGCAGCCAACATTATAGCAAATTTGACACAAAGTAATATTTAAGCTCCTACTCCTTATTCATGATTAAATGAGCAGTTGCAAATACTTCTTAACCCCAGGCTCTGTATCCTACCATCAGCTATTAGAAACTCCCAGTGACAGATAGGGAATAGGAAATAATTCACAGAAAAATTCATAGAAGTCTCTATAGTCACTCTATAGAAGTGATTCTAGTCACTGACAAGACTGAAGTGAAATGTCAGTGTTCAGAGTTTTGTCTAAAGGTACCTCTTCTATTTTCTTCTGCATGACCTTCCATTGACATTCCCATTCTTTCCTTTCATTGTCAAATCTCTCCAGCAACTCCATCTTCTCTTTATTCCAATTCTTTTCAGTATTCTCCAGTTGTTTATGTAGGTCCATGGCTACAGTTTGTGCAACAGCAAGAAGATAGCTCTGCGTTTTTCCTTCTTCCCTGAATGTTTCCTGGAAGTTTATCAAAATAAGTCTTACTCATATTTGATTTTAGCTTTCAGGAAAAAACTATCAACAACCTCCCCCCTACCCCCAAAATAATTAACTCACATGTTTTTGCAAGAGACAGTATCACAGGATTGCATGATCTATATCTGCAGTATGACTGTAATATGGAAGAACTAAGCATCATGGGAAGCAAACCTAGCAGTACATAAGCCCAATCTGAAAAGGCAAGGAGCGATGCACATCCAGCATCATATAATCCAGGAATGTCTGCCACAATAGGCTGCGTACTGTGGCCACTTCACATATCTGCCATCACTCTTCACTAAACCTGCTTTCAATGAAATTTGAGTCTGCATGACACCGAATGGCACTTTAGCACCTTGCGATCCTGCAAGGTCTGCCCCTGAGGGTGAAAGCTACGTTTGTCTTTGTTCAAAAGACAACCATAAATGTAAAGCTGTAGTGTTTGCTCATGCAATCTTTTCACGCACGCATGTAGCATGACAAAGATTATGGCATTCTTCTAGCAATTGAAGACTATAAGCTTCATACATGAAGCAAATTCTCATGGTTATATGAATGCTTTAGAATACATGAAGGAAAACAGGAAAGAAAAGCTACTTACATGTTACAAACACGCATTCAGTAGAAAGCATCATTCTAATATATAAAGAACCATAGAGCACTACAAAGTGTTAGTGTAATTTGGATATACAGATCTAAATCTAGAAACATTAGTTCCAGGACCAACTTAGGGAGAACTAGAACCTATCCACTGATTGCACTAACTCAAACATAGCTGGAAATCTGTTCTTTTGACGTTGGGGCAAAACAGTTATAGATTTGATGGGCTGGTCATCCTCTTGCTTTCTCAGCTTTGAAAATGGAAATTCCACTATTATCAGCACTTTTACTATGTTAACAAGGCCAAAAAACCCGTTCATTCAGTTACAATGGCTTCTGTGGTGTAGGCTTCTGTAGCGGCTTGTACATACACACTGATACTCGAGTTTGCTAACTCTGTCTCCCAAAGCAAGCTGTTGTGTTACTTAGGTGGACAAGGAATCTAGTTCTAGTCACAAAATGCATCTGAACTGCTTTGATCTCCCACCAGAAAGTAAGCGTATGTGCAGACAAACAAACTATCATAGAGTTAACTAGGGGTAAGCCCTGTTCACCCTTCTGGAGTTTGTTCACTTCCCTGACCGACAGTCAGTGCTTGCCAGCTCACAGGAACTGCTCATTTTATCTTCTATATTTTCTTTGCTATAGTGAATACTCATTCTTGAGCTTCCTGCAAAGTTCTTCCTCATCCCCTATTTTATTAGGCAAGTCATGTTTATTCAGCTGTGGCTCCTATGCTTACCAGTGTCTGCATTATTTCAGCTGACTGGTGAGCTGATGCCAAACTTGGAATCGGCTTCTTTCATTAACAAATAAGCAGAGAGCTCAGCTGAAGTCCAACAGGTTGCTTGGGTCTTTGCATCATATGAAGTCCTGCTACAGGATGTTTCAACTGACAGCTACCAAGGGCCCAATTCAAATTCAGTGGTAGCAAAACTGTTCACCCCAAAGAGTTTTGGACTGAGGTCTTAGAGAACGGGCTGATTATGTTCTGAATATCTCTGCCAGGTTGTTTCACAATTTCACAGTGGGGTCACCACGTCACCACGTAACATGGCATTGGAGTTTAGCTCCTTCAAACTTTTCTTCACAGCTGACTTAGAACTCTGAAATGGCAATCTGTCCCTGAACTATTTACAGAGATATTTCAAACCTTTTCTTTTTCCAGTTGCCTAGAAGCATATAGAGCAGCTTTACAAAAACATAAAATTCCCTGAAACTAAGAGAGCTGCTGAAAGACAATACAGCATTCTCAACATAAGAGAAGTCAAACTCTGGTTTGCTCATGGCTTCCTTGGGAAGGCAGCCAGGCTATAGAGACTTTACCTCTCCAGACCAAAGTTTCAGCTTTGTGCCAAAGATTTTGGTTAAGTGTTGATCAAAAACAACTTACTAAAATCCTGCTGCATTAATAATCTATTGCAATTTAAACATCTATTGCTAAAGAACTTTACAACCATTTCAATGCTTTCTCACTTTGCTATTTCAAAGGTTGTAACTTTTGGTGCAGTCATTTGCGTTTGCTCATGGCTTCCTTGGGAAGGCAGCCAGGCTATAGAGACTTTACCTCTCCAGACCAAAGTTTCAGCTTTGTGCCAAAGATTTTGGTTAAGTGTTGATCAAAAACAACTTACTAAAATCCTGCTGCATTAATAATCTATTGCAATTTAAACATCTATTGCTAAAGAACTTTACAACCATTTCAATGCTTTCTCACTTTGCTATTTCAAAGGTTGTAACTTTTGGTCCAGTCATTTGCTTTTTTTTTTTTTTTTTTTTTTTTTTGCTACATTTATGCCTTTATAACTTTTTCAAGACATCTCAGAGAGATATATCAAAATAATTTCTCTATTGACTCTGCTTCTCCAGATTCTTTCAAATGTGTGTCAGAAAGAAACAGATAAACTGTGGAAACACTGTCAAGTCATGAACTAGAGATACAGGCAAAATCTGCTTACAAGTTGTACAAATCATGAGTCACCCAGTACACCATTAGTAGTAATGAGCATGACTCAATCAGCAGCAATAAATACGTATTACTGGAGAGAAACTCAAGACTATACATTATAATCTTATATATACATATCAGAACAAATATATAATCTGTAATCCTTTCCAGCATGCATACAGCATTAAAAGACTGCTCACGGTTTCTTAGTGCTGGGAACCATTATTGCCATGTTTGCATCCACCTTAACAATTTACAAGCTGTTTCATATGGGACTCTAATTATAGAAATAGATTGGATACCATCAAAATGCAATAAGGTCTTGGAAAAGGTTACATACTGATAGTTATGTGTAGCTCCAAGCTCCACAGCAAACTTGTACTGCCTCTTTCGCTTCTCTGATTTCCTTTTGACACAAATACTGAGAAGGAAACTCATGTTTACTGATGCTAGCAGCTGGATGACTATACACTTCTGCTTCTTTTCTACGCTGGATAAATTCCTGGGAGAATGTTAAATCCTATCTCTTTGTGTCTCTTTTCCTTTTTTGTATGGGGGGGGGGGGGCTGACTGATTTTTTTCCTACTTGGGAAACAGGAATAAAAATCTAATCTGTAGCCCTGGTAATATACCCTCTGTCTGTAGTCAGTACTGGGATGTCCTCATGGGCCTCTCACATGGCTTATACAACCCAATAAGACACAAAATGCCACTTCTTTTTTATTTAAAAGTCTATTTCCCTTTTATGTAAACAAAAGGCAGGCATGATTTTAATTTTCTGTGTGGAACAGAACACTATCTGTGTACTTCCAGTATTGGCTTTTTCTGCATGTCCTAGACAAGGTCAGAAACTCATTACAGCAACCAACTTCAAGTAAATAATCAATTTTGTCTACATCAGATGCATTTTCCCTTTACTCTTCCTCTAGCCCTCCCTCCTCTCAAGCAAAAAAATGTTTTAAGCTAGTATTTGATGTTAATGTTACTATTGCCCTATGTCTTACCTATGTCCTTTCTATCTACATATTAAAAATACAAAATAGTTTGAAATCAACCTCTCTAACTGGAGTATGGAAATTCTGAAAATAAACTGTAGTGTTACCAGTAGAGAAGATTTTTTTTTCAACACAGATTAATTAGATTGCGTGTGCACAACCATTCGGATATACAAGTCTTCCCCCGATTTTAGAAAAAAGCTATTAAACTGTATTTCTAACAAGGTGCTGCATTTTGGATGACTAAGGAAATTGTAAAATTATTTATTTATTTACCCAGTTAAAAAAGAGTGACAGGTGTTACATTATTGTGCACTTTATATCTAAAAAGAAATGACATTTGAAAGAGAGAGGAAGAAAAAAAGAGAGGAAGAGAGAGAGAGGCAGAAAAAGAAAGAAAGAAAAAAGAAAGAAAGAAAGAAAAGATAGAAAGAAAGAAAAGAGAAAGAAAAAGAGGAAGGAGAGAGAAAAAGGGAAAGGGAAACGGAAACGGAAAGGGAAAGGGAAAGAAAAAGGAAAAGGAAAAAAGAAAGGGAAAGGAAAAGAGAAAGGAAAAGAGAAAGAGAAAGGAAAAGGAAGAAAAAGAAAAAGAAAAAGGAAGAAAAAGAAAAAGAAAAAGAAAAAGAAAAAGAAAAAGAAAAAGAAAAAGAAAAAGAAAAAGAAAAAGAAAAAGAAAAAAGAAGGAAAGAAGGAAGGAGGGAGTGGAGGAAAAGAGAGAAAGAAAGGAAAAGAGGAAAAAGAGGGAAAGAAGGAAGGAAGGAAAAGAAAAAGAAAGGAAGAGAGAGAAGAGGAAAGAAGAAGAGAAAAAGAAAAATATAAGGACTGAAGTGTTCAAAATGGTACCTATCATCTGTATTTGGTTAATATATCTGTCCCTGCTCTGGAGAAACTAACTGAACTGATCAAGTTCAGTTCTGTACAAATAAAGAACAAGCATAACATACCTAAATGCTGCATAACATATAAATAGGAACATTAGAGAGATGTTTAAGTAACTGTTTGCCACATTAGTAATTTTCATTGTTTTTTAAATCTTAACAGTTTAAAACTGTTCAAAAATACTAATTTAAAATGAAACAAAATCATACCTTTCATAGAGTAAGAAATCCTTTAGAAGTTTTTCAGTCCATTTCTAAACAGCAGTGAAAGCAATGAAATGCATAGCTAGCTGAGATCCAGTTCTGCAAATCTTGATCTTTAAAAGGAAAAAGAAAGCTAAACAAGATACAACCTTTCAAACAGGGCAGCATTTGCAAATCTCTTTGAATAACTCCACAACTTTTGCAAACTGAAAAACAGTTCCGTTTAGCATCATCCTAGCAGCTGGCCTCTATGTGACGTCAGTGCATGGAGGATGGTTTTAAAGCCATCTCTTCCAACCCCCAGCTCTGTAACTTTATATCTCCTCATATTTTGTGTAAACAACTCCAAGTCCAGGACATTTTTAGGTTTTATAGTGCAGCCCAGTCTTTAAAGCTTGCCAAAGCAGCCAGTGTTAATATTAAAGCTATGACAATAGGCAATTTTAGACTTCTTTTATTAGCATCCATGTTGTAAAGGAAGATTATTTTCTGCTTTCCAAACTCACTTTTCAGGGTTATATTTATTATTATTATTTTGAGCTTTGCAGCTTGATCATTATAAACTGTTTTGTAAAGAAGGTAGGTTTAAAGAGGCAATTTTGTTGGTTAACAGCTATCTTAAAGAGCGAAAAGCAAACTGCTCGTCCCTAAAATCTTCTTCTGTATCAAAATCACTTACAAAGTATGGAATTATTGGGTATTGTGTAAACTTATTGTCTGGCATTCTGGGAATGTTGATAATGGTTTCTTTGGGATATACCCAAATATTCCCACTACTTTTATAAGGATTCTGGATCAGATTCTCCAGTCTGTTAAGATTCTTTGTGTCTCAGCAAAGTGGTTGAAATTGAATGGAGAAGCTCCCTTGCGCAGGGAAACTCATCCCAGGTGAAACACTAGTAAGGATGTTTCAAACACACCTCAGCCTGTATTTAAAGCCTTGGGGATGCACATAGCAAGGGCAGGTATAGGGTGAGGAAAGGGAGCTTCTGTGATAAAAATGATCCAACAGGCGAGAGTCCATAGGAGACCCTCCAACCAATGTAGCAGCCTCAAGCAGCTCCCCTGCTGCTCCACAGCTGGCTGGGCTGCAGCTGCAGGTGCGAGGAGCTCTGGCTTGCTCTTTGCATCTCTGCCCACCTCGGCATCTCACGGAGGCAGAGAGACTCTTGCACACAATGTCAAATTGCCATCTTTGCTCGTGGGCTTCACTGTAACTGCTTCTCTGCTACAGATTACAAACAGGTGTAAACTTAGCCCGGCTTCCACTGGGTTTCCACTCCATTCGGACAACTCCAGCGGGCACAGTATTAACATGGTTTATCTACCCTGCTAAATTTAACTGCAGCTCCCTCCCTCCCTCTATTTGGGACCCATTCCCACAGGCTCTCTCTCAGAAAAATTTTCCTTAGAAAGAATAGCCCTAAGTAGAGTGGACACCAGCTGGTGCCATTTGGCTTCAAAACCGGTTGCTGGGCTGCTTTTATTTGGCACAGTGAGGTCATTCTCCACAGGAAGAAGCTGCATTCAACCACCACCACCCTGCCAGGTAATTGTGCATTGCCACGCTTGGATGTACCTGGGGACAATGACTGAGATCAACCATAGTCATAAATTTCACATTTCATAGAACGTTTGTCCATATGTATACCTGGAGAAGGGCCACCTCATATTTGTCTCATGCAGCATAAAATAATGATCAAATGCTGTCATCAGATGTGTATCTTCAAATGCACTGAACAGGAGTGATATATATATTTGTGGGCAGAGCACATCAGCTGATGACAGGAGGATTTGTGAGACGAAGGACATGATCGGAGGATTCACGCATACTTAGCTTAGTCAGCACTTTCCTCTTGAGAACAATGAGCCATATCTGGGATAAAATCCATGCACAGCATAAAGATTTTAACTCTGGGTGCATTTCATAGTAAATACCAAAGCAGGTTTCAGGGAAAACACATTTTTTCTCCTTATATGGTCTAGCTGTAAGTCTCAGTGAATACATTACTCGGGTGCTTATTCTGCTTCCATGTAAGATAAATAATGGGACTTGGGCTATTTGCAAACATTTCAAAAGTCATGTAAAACTCAACGAAGGTGCTCAAGTACATGACTGAATGCTCCTGAAGAAAATTCCCAGCCTCTATACTCTTAGGATTTAAAAATCCTTTCATAAAATCAGTTTGCCTTTCTCTCGGGAAGTTACTTCCAAACACGCCAGCTGGCACCGCTGGGAGCGAAGCCTGAGTGCCTGGGAGCTGAACTGAGCCTGCAGCTGGGAGCTGTGTGCCACACGCTGCCTCCTCACTGAAGCCAGCACAGCTGCACCAGCGCCAACGAAGACAGAAACTGAAAACACGTTTCTTTCACTCTTCCATTTCCCCTCAGCACACACTATTATTCTTGTGTACTTAATACTAGACTCAATGCCCCTTGTCTTGTTATGCAAACTCTTTGAAATAAAACACAGAAGAATTAAAGAAAACAACAGACTAAATCTCAGGGCTTGAGTTTTCACCCAGGCAAAATCCTACATTTTTGTCAATGTGAGGAATAAGAAATAAGTGGGAGAGCGAGCCGCTCATTAGCAGACTAGATCTGAATCCCACTCAGATCACCGGGGCCCTCCACATGAGCTCCACCACTGAGCTGTAGATCAGGTCTTTGTGGGCTCAGGGAGGCCTCTGACAGGGGGTTAGGCACATGGCTTTCACCAAGGAGGCAGAAGACTTGAAGAAGTTGACAGGGTTGTGAAGGAGCTCTGCCTTCTCATATACAGGACTTAACGGAACTTAAACTGCACTGTTTCCCTGATTGAGATCATAACTTGACCCCAGCCCTCTCTTTAAAGTGCTGTCCGACTTTGGAAAATGGCTGTTTGAAGAAAGCATTTTCTTCTTTAACAAAAATGTCCTCATATGTTCATCATACCTGCTGATCATCACTGCAAGGGCATGCTGCCATGCAAAGAAATCAGATATGCCTTTCTTCTCCCTGCCCACTGAAAGGCTGTCCTGGATGGCTACAAACACTATTCTAAACACACTCTTTTCCAGGATCATGCTTGGAAAAAGGAAATTTCCTGGCCTACCCACAGCAGCGGGATGACAGTTCAGAGACAGCTTGAGACTTGGTAGGCAAACCTAAATGTTGCTGCAAGCACGTCAAAGGGCCATTTTAAACTCTTCCTCCTATGGGAAAGTCAGAGCAAAGCTAGAACAAACACCACAAAGAGAGCTCTAAAAACCTGGGCTCATTGTTCCTGACACCCTTATGAGTAGCAGCTTTTGCTTTCATTGAAAAAAAATGGTTATCCCACAAATGACGACTGTCCCTTCTACAGCAGCAGCAGACAGCAGGAAAGGGCTTTCTGGACTCTTATATAGGCAAGAAAAGCTACAAGGCCATGATAGGTTTACCACAGCTAACGTACTGCTTCCATAGGCAAAGCATACTTTGCCTATACCTGGCATCAGCCCTGCTTTTGTTAATAGTCAGCACCTCAACAGAAAGGATGCAATGGCGTTTTGGAGAAGTCCTCGGCTAAATTTCTCTTAATCATATCCCTGACACATTCCCATCAGTGTGGCCACGGTCTAGCTAGTAGGCTGTGCCCATATAGGAAAAAGGGGTCAATTTAACATAGGCCTTATTTAATCTACCTTAAATAATAGCAAGATTGAAATCAGGAGCATGAGTATTAGGATGGGCTATAATTCCGGGCCTTCAGTAATGTGTACTCTGGTTGCTATTCTGTGCTCAAGATCATTTTTGATAAGTATCTTCACTTCTGCTGTGCTAGCTAGGTAACAGCACATTCATTTTGCTGTGCCACCATAAAGCTGGTAACAAGAAGAAAGCACAGAACTGCTACCACTGTAATCAACCTATCTGCAACATCAGATTCCTGACTGATGTTATTTTTTACACTTCAAGAATCTTAGCAAAATAATAAATAAATAATAATAAATAAATAAAACTGTCTAACACTTTAATAGTAACTAGAAATTTTACATGATTCTTCCAATGAACTTGTACTGTGCGTTAACCATCTAGACCAAGGCACCAATCTAGGCTACTCTACAGACAATGAGAAAAGATCTGTAGTTCTGGAGAACACTCAGTCCTCCTAGGACAGTTATTTAAGGTAGTTGGGAAGAATCATTTTCTGCTGACCTTCAGTTTCTTCCTGCAGACAACAAAAAGAGACCACATGACTACTTTAGAGTAGATATCTACAGTTTAGGTGGATTGAAGTTAAGTGAGGAGAAACTTGCCTTATGTGTGTCATAAAGTACAGACTATATCTTTCCCAGTAAAATAAACTATTTGGGGTCTGTTTTCTGGATTTGAGACCAACTGGCAGGACCTTACTCTGTCTATCTGTTAAGCTCTCTCAATCTACAAAACAAGGTGGCCATATCACAATTGCCTGCTATGAGCGGTCCCTAGTCCAGGTTCTTGATAAGGTTCCTGAGCTAAGTACAGGAATTGTTTGAAAAAATGTTAATTGTCCCAGAGCAAAAACTGTACCAGAAACCCTTCTAACAATTTAGAAATATAAATATTCCAATTTGTTTATCTGTGCCCACCCTCAGTACATTTAATATGTTAATATGGTCCCAGCCTACAGGTTTTGAGATGTCGGGAATAGAGCCTATTGATTTGATTTTGCTCAAAGTAATTTTACTGATGCCAGTCCTCCTTTTACAATTCTCATATCTATAAAAGAGTAGTAACACTACCTTGGCTACATATTCAGTTTATGAAAACAGCTGAATTAGTAGCTGATAATATTATTAAAATACGGTTTATGCAATGGGTAAGAAAATACAATATTAATAATTTGAATGACATATACATAGTAACAGGCTTTTAATGATATGATTCCATCACTAATTTCAGCGCAGTTAAAGACAGCAAATAACATACTGAATGAAACCTTTTTCAGCTCTAAAATTTGTAGGTGACGGTGACTGTATTGTCAGGTTTATTCCACTAAAAGTTAATAGATTAAACTTATCAAAGTGATTCTGTATTTTTAAAAGGAAAACTGAAGAATGAAGATCAAGACCAAGAGTCCTGATGGTTTTTGAAACTGTTAAGAAATCTATTCAGAGTTTATTTAGAAACTATTTAGGAATCAAGCTCTATCTTGAAAATAAATCCAGGAACACATTATTAGCTTAATAGGAATGTAAAAAAAATGGACCCATTATTGCTTATGAGATGAGCCTTATAGTCCCTTCAATCCCCCTTTCATCTTTGATGAGGATGATTAAAAATACAGTCAGTGAGAGTATCAACTCTTCTTCATTATGAACAGCCTGTACAAACTAAATTCTCCATAATCTCAGAAGAAAGATTTCTTGAATGAGGCAGTTATAACCGGAATTTCAATGCTTCCTCTACTATCTTCTGATTTTATGTGTAGACAGACTCTCTTGACTAGAATACCATTGCTGGATTTCACATCCATAATAAATTACATTAAGTGCCTCTGTACTTCAAAAAACAAAAGCTGCATAAGAAATAATAGATGTAGCCATATCATCAATTAAGAAATAAAACTGTTGTTATTGTTCAAGCCAAATAAATGCCTCAGCAGTTCAACTTGGAAAAAGTACACTTGAAAGATGATTACCTATATAGGCTTAGTTAGAAGTTCAAATGTCAAAGACACGGTTCTCAGAGCTTCTTTGCCAGATAAGGTGAAAGAAGAGTTATACAGCTGTCCTAGCACATCACAAAAAATGTCTGGTGCCAATCTTCCTTTCTCATGGAAAGTTCCTTAAGGAACGTGTCCTGTCTTCCTTTTTCAGAAAGTGGAAATGTATTAAAAAGTACATAAAGCTTCTGTGAGACATCTCCTACAGAAATGTCTTAGAGCTTTAGAAGATTCTCTTTAAGTCAAGGAAGGTAAATGTTTCTTGTAGTTAAAAAAAAAAAAGAGAGAGAGAGAGAGAGAGAAGAGAGAGAAAGAGAGAGAGAGCGAGCGAGCGCAAGACAAAGATAATGACACAGAGACAGAGAGAGACAGCATAGCTTTCTATCTTACTACCAGGCCTTCTGTTGCACAAGGAAGTCAAAGTTCTTCAAAGAAAGAACAGGAAAATTAAGTCTTCAAATGTCCCCAGAATATTTCCCTTATTTTATAGCTCATGGAGGGGGAACTGGTTTCAGTTATTAAATGATAAGATGGACTGATTAAATACAAATATTTCAAGATAGGGAATACTAAATCCTTTGTTAATTTTCACGACACCTAGTTTCTTACTAGAAACAGTAATTTATTAACAATATATATTAAAATAATAAAAACTCCCTTGCTCTCCTCAAATCACAATGATTCACAGCAAAATTTACCTGATAACTTATCTGGATTTTGGTTGCCAATTATATTTGGATATACACATATTCTGAAAACTTAAGCCAAATTCAGCATAAAAGAACATATAATTTATTATTGTGAGTGACTGTCTTGGATGTTAGGATGTGAAAAAAATCATAATTTTCTAAACAAGAAAATAGCTTAGTAGATTTTTTGTAAAAATCAGTAATCCATATTTGCAGACTAAGGATCTTGAATACAAGTTCAATTAATGCGTGAATACTGAAATATGCTTAAGAGGCATATCCATATCAAATACGGCTTATGTAATTACTAGCATAGATGCATTGCTGAGAGGATACTTTAACTGATCTTGACAAGCATTCTGTTCAGAGCAATGAATAACTCTAGAGAAGAAATACATCAGTGTAATAGGACTCTACATGGCGTCCAAGGCAATCCTGGCACCGGAAACATTTCTCATACACAAAGCAATGTTAATGCAGTTAGACAACACCTCAGTAGTATCATATACAAATTGACAAGGCGGAACCAAGAGTTCACCTCTGCTAATGAATGGTGGCTTTCAGGCTGCTTCAGTGGGCATGAACTCAACTCTGAAGGTTGTTCATATAGCAGGATCTCATCTCACACAAGACTGGCTAAACCGAGAGACAGTCAGTCCATCCTGGAGAATGGCTTCTGAGTCACATTCCCAGGATGAGTCATAGATCAGATCTGCAAACTTTCTGTGCCTAGTTGGTGATAGATCTATTAGCTTTGAAGAGCAAGACAACTTTCAGTGTTTTATCAGCCTCTGACAGTAGGAAATTTTCTCTAATGTAATCTCTATTTCCTAAACAAACCCTCACTCTGAAATCTGTCTTTTATAAAGAATCCCATTTGGAGTTGAAGGATTCTCTGTGATCTAGTTCAGTTCCCTTTCTCACCTTGCTCATCATCTAAGGACAGAGATAAAGGAAAAAAGGCTGAGAAGAGAAGAACAAACATGAAAACTGTTCTTGCTCTGTCTCCTAGGGGAAAGTAACAGGAGAAAGAGGGGAAGGTGCTATGATTCAATAGCAATTAGGTCACGTATTCCTAAGGAGGAAAAGCCTTGCAACCAGGCCTATGCTCAGAACTCAAAGTTTAGGCATTCTCTTACAACTGATCCTGCCAGCTGTGGTGTTATAGGCCCAGAAGAGGCCAGAAAGTGAAGTGGATCAAATGAGGAAAGAAAAGGGCTTACCAGTTAACAAAAAATCTACAAGAGCATGTAAGGATAAATTAATCCAGGAAGTATCAGCTATTACTTTCTTGGGGATTTTCTTATCCTCACACCTCCGAATGTCAAGGCAACAGAACTAATTTCTCAAAGGGAAGCTGGCAGCCTTTACATTTAGCCAGGTGATATAAGATCACCCTGCCATGGAAAGGGACACTCTCTGCTCCTCTCGCATCAGTTCTAGCATTCATAGTGGCTTCTTCACAACTGAAAACTAAACCTGCAACAACAAAAAAAATCCATTTTCAGTTGGACCAGAACACTGGACTGAATTCTACCTGTGCTCTATGATCCCTCAAGACGATAGGCCTTGAGGCTGAAAGCAGGAGAAGGGATTAGACTACTCACAGCTAGACTGGCCTAAGCTGATCCCCAAACGTCAGGACATCTATTGACAGATATGACCAGAACCTGTTTACAGAGATGAGTAGTGATTAAATTCCAACTGGCTTCAAAGGGAAAAACCCATACTTTTCTCTTCTTCAGTGGCATCACTATATATTCTCTAAAATAAAAGACAGAATGGATTTCTCTTAATTACAAAACAATTTTCCAAGCATCAAGATTATAATAATCCTTTGAATCAGGTACATTTTTTAGAACTTACTGTCTTTTGCTGATAACAAGTCCCAAAATAACTCAGGATCCAAAATATGGTCTGGATAAGATTTGTTTATCATCAAGCGTAACTCTCCGAGGACAAATGTATAATTAATTAACCATTATGTCCCTCTAGACTCTCATTTCTTGTATCCTTTGTTTCTATCCAGATGAGAGTTAGGTCTCACTGTGTTTTAACATATCTTATGCTCTCAAAAAGAGCAGCATTATTCAGACAAACTCCATGAAGGATCAATGTGGAACATTAATGTCTGTGCACTAATTAATGCATATTATTGTGGGACATACATAATTTTGAAAAATAGTACAAATGTCAACTTATTGCTGGTATGTTCATTCTAGCTCTACATTGCATTCACACTGGGAACTAGCTGGGAAACAGTAAAGCCAAGTAGGACCATAAGTTATATAGTTAGTCCCCTTGGGAGTTCTGTGTGACGATCAGCATAAAACTTTTTCTCTATGAATATTTTGACATAAGTCAGAAACAGATGGTGAGCTGTGGAAAATATTAATTCAAATGATCTAAAGATACAGGAAAGTCTTCCTAATGTCAACTTTTAATTTGTTTTTGTTGTCTCTCTTCAACTTCCTTTTAAAAATAAGTAGTGGGGACCTAATTTATGTGTAAAGTATTTTATTTAATATTGTAATTACTGTGAATGACTAATCTC